TCATCCGCATACCATCCGCAGACAGACGGACAGACCGAGCGCCTCAACCAAATTGTTGAGCAACTCCTCCGAGCAGCCTGCAAGGACGACATCTCCAAATGGGACTTGCACCTGCCCGTTCTCGAGTTTGCTTACAACAATGCTACACATGCCGCTACTGGACAGACGCCGTTCTTCCTCTGCTACGGACGCCACCCACTCACACCACAGAAACCGACAACATCAGCAACAGTCCAACCTGCACACGACTTCATCACAACCATGCATCAACTTTGGGATCGGACCCATAAGCGCCTCCTTGACATTCAACAGCAACAGAAGCGCCAGGCCGATCGCCATCGCAACGACCACACCATTTCCGTGGGAGACCAGGTGCTCCTCGACACCCGCAACCTGGACATCAGCCATCTCCCATCTAAACTTCGACCTCGCTTCTGCGGGCCTTTCCTCGTTGAAGCACAGGTCACTCCTGTTACCTTCCGCTTACGCCTGCCAGCTACCTGGAAGATTCACAAAGCCTTCCACGTCCAACTTCTGAAGCCCTATCGGGACCCGAACACAATTTTCGTCGGACGCCAACCGCCGCCGCCACCGCCCGTCCTCGTCCAGAATGAACCCGAGTACGAGGTCGAGTCCGTGCTCGCACACCGCCGTCGTCGGAATGGCACCGTGGAGCTTCTTATCCGTTGGAAGGGTTATGATCCTTCTGAGGACAGCTGGGTACCTGAGTCCGACATGGGTAACGCCCGTCGTCCTCTGCATGACTACCTTGTCAAGCAGGGTGTTACTTCTACCACCCAGCTTTGAGGGGGGGAAGTGTGAGAGCACGACCCCGTTACACCACTTGGCCTTTTCTTATTTCCTTCCCTTTTCATTTCTCTTTTTACCGCATCTCATTTGGTTTCCTCTTCTTCCTTTTCCATTATCCTTTGGTCTCTTCCTTTATTATAATTATATCACCGACCAGGCATGGAATGTACTAGAGACGTTATCCAGCGTAATCCTGTCGTAATCCCTTAAAGCCAATAGCCTCACGTGGCTATACGCAGGGTGATTCTATCTTCTAGAAGGGTCTATTCCCTTAGGATAAGATAAACCTGGTTACCTGATGTACTCTGGAAGTATAAAAGCGCCTTGTACTGATCGATAGTGCAACCTTTCCTCGACACATTCGATCCTGTGACAGTCTCCCTGCATCACTGCCAGCCCTCCCTCCCTCGCTTGCGCCGCCGTGCACGCCCTTCCTCGAGGGCCGGCTGCACCGTGGTCCTCACGCCTCCTTGCTTCGTCCTGCCACCGCACCCCTCCACACCCTGCACCTGGACGTCTGGGGCCCAGCCCCCGTCCCTGGACCGCGTCGCGAACGCTACTTTCTAGTGCGCGTTGACGACTACACGTGCTACACCACGGTGTTTCCCCTGGAGCGGAAGGCAGACGTTCTTATCCCGTGGGTCATAGCTGCGCGCCTCCACCACGGTCTCCCTGTGCTGTATCTTCACTCCGACCGTGGCGGCGAGTTCGCCTCTGGTCGGCTTGGACAGTTCTGTCGTGCGGAGGGCATCACCCAGTCGTACACCCTGCCGGACTCCCCGCAGCAGAATGGGGTCGCTGAGCGACGCATCGGTTTGGTCATGGAGGTGGCTTGTACCTCCATGATTCATGTCGGCGCACCCTATTTTCTGTGGCCGTTCGTCGTTCGCTACGCCGCTCACCAGCTTAACCTCTGGCCGCGCTCCCAGCGGCCGCAGGTTTCGCTGACCCTTCTTTGGATAGGGTTCCCTGGTGAGGCATCTACGCTCCACGTCTGGGGCTGCCTTGCTCACGTTTGTGCCTCTGGCACGGACAAGCTCACTGCCCGCACTGTCCCCTGTGTCTTCCTCAGCTTCCCCCTAGACTCGTCTGACAGGCACGTTTACCACCCGCCGTCTCACCGCTTCTTTAACTCCCGTGATGCCACTTTCGATGAGTCTGTCTCCTTTTACCACCGCTTTCCCCACCGAGGTCTCCCCGTTTCCCCTCCCCTGTTTCTGGTTCCCACTCCTCCGGTAGTCCCTGCTCACCTCCCTCCCCGTCCTGCTCCGTCTGGTGTGTCTCATGTCACTCCCCTCCCGTCGGTTGTCCCGGTCGAGAAGTTGGCTGACTTTGGTGGCCTGCGGAGCAGTTCTTGCCACCTGTCTCTCCCCCGGTGTCTCCTCCTCCGCCGTCGCAGTAGCCGCCACCGCAGCAGCCGCCGCCGTCACAGCAGCAGCAACCGTTCGTGGACTCTGGGGGTGTTGGCGTTGATGAGGGTGCTAGTCCTGGGGTTCCTTTCGTGGCTTGTCCCGGCGGGCTCGGGGGTGGCACCGTTGCTAGAGAGGGTTCTCGTTCTGGGGAGCTGGAGTGGAGTGTTTTGGAGGTATTCGTGGTGCAGCTGGCGGTCCAGGCGTCGGCGTCGAGCAGCAGCACCAGCAGTCGCCGCCGGTGTCCGCCCTTCCCCTGCTCGGCCTTCCCTCCCCTGACCGCTCGCCTGCGCCTCCCCCGCCGCCTCCTCCCCTCCCTGTCCACGGTCCTATGTTTCCTTCGCCGGACTCGTCCCCGGCTCATTTCCCACCTCGTTCCCCTGCTGTTACTCCTCCTCTGTCTCCTGACCCGACACCTCCGTCTCAGTCTGGTGTCGTCTTCCCTCTCGTGCTCATCCTGCCTCCCCTGTTCAGCGTTCTCACCCTATGTTGCTTCGTTCCCGCGCGTCTCGTCCTCCTCTCCCGCTTTCACCTCCTCTATCGTCGCTCGCAATCGCACCTCCCCCTCTGTCTGACTACCTTCGTGCTGCTTGTCCTCTTGTTCCTCGGATCCTTGCCTCCCTAGTTACTGACCCGTCTGTTCCTGTCTCGAGTCTTGACGCTCTAGTCGATGTTGTCGCTGACTTCGCCTCTACCCGCCGCCTTGACTATGCCACCGCTGTGGTCTCTGACCCTGTCCGTCATCCGTCCGTCGGGGGTGCTTCTGCCCTTGGCAGTGATGTCATCGAGGAGAGGCAGTACGAGCTTGCTTTCCTCGGAACGCTGGGCCTCACAGTGGATATTTGCCATGGAGCAGGAGATGGCTTGGAGATCCACCGGCACCTACGTCGACGTAGTTCCCCCATCTGGGGTGAACGTAATCGATGGCCGGTGGCTCTTCAAGATGAAGCACCCTCCTGGAGAGCCGCGTGTGTTCAAGGCGTGCTACGTGGCTAGAGGCTTCAGTCAGCGAGAGGGGGTGGACTTCTTTCAGACCTTTGCCCCGACCTCGAAGATGACTACTCTTCGGGCGCTGCTACCTCCACTCCCTCGACTTCTCCACTGCTTTTCTTTAGGGCAGCCTACACGAGCAGGTCTACCTGCGTCGTCCTCAGGGCTTCACTGATACCTTCCCTCCTGGGACCCAGTGGCTTCACCGGCGCCCAGTGTACGGCCTGTGACAGGCGCCCCGTGAGTGGCAGGACATGCTGCGTACTACGCTAGCTGACCTGCAGTTCTTTCCGTCCTCTACAGACCCCTCGCTCTTCGTTCGTGCTGGCCAGACTCCGTTCTACATCCTTGTCTACATAGATGGCCTGGTCTTCGCTACTGCAGACAGAAACGTGCTGGCCTCCGTAAAGGCCGAGCTGCTAAGGAGGCACACCTGTATTGACCTAGGAGAGCTGCGCCTCTACCTTGGCCTGCCGATCTCTAGGGATAGAACAGCGCGCACCATGACTCTCACATAGTCACACTTGGTGCGCTAGGTCCTCAGAGGTTCTGTCTTGAGTTCTCCTCCACACAGCCCACACCGTTGCTAGTAGACCACAAGCTCGCAGCTCTAGTTCTTGAGGAGTCAGTAGAGCCCAGTGGTCCTTACTCAGAGCTGGTGGGTTGCCTCATGTACCTGATGAATTGCACTCATCCAGATCTCGTATACCCTCTCAGCATCCTGGCTCGCTTTGTGGCCACAGCAGACACCGACCACAGCGCTGGTGGGCCGCTAAGAGGGTTTTGTGTTATCTTGCAAGTACATCGGGCATGGGGCTAGTGCTGGGAGGACGTAGGCCAGTGGTCCTTATTGGGCACACAGACGCTTCTTGGGCAGACGACGCTGAGACCCTCAGGTCCTCCCAGGGCTACTGCTTTAGCCTTGGTTCGGGTGCCATCTCGTGGAGGTCCACTCTGAGATCTACGCCGGTGCCATAGCGACACAGGAGCTCCACTGGCTGACCTTCTTGCTCGCCGACTTAGGTGAGCGGCCTAGCTCTGCCCCGATTCTGTACGCTGACAACAGGGCCATGATTCTCCTGTGTCAGGAGCCATGACTTGAGGGCAGAGCAAAGCACATCGAGCTGCGGTACTTCCTCCTGCGCGAGCTATAGCAGCGTCGCCAGGCCCGCATAGTACACTTGGCCTCCGGTGCCAACACAGCTGATATCTTTTGTAAGTCGCTTGCGCCTAAAGATCATTAGCGGCACTGCTTGCAGCTTGGTCTAGTTCCTGTAGACTCTCACTTGCTAGGACCTTGATTGTGTACTCTATATTTATACCTTTCAGACTGGCCTTGTGGCGTCTCTTCCTGCGGCCGGACTAGTAGTGCTGTCTTGGTTTGCTCGTCTTGTTTGTACTCTTGCTGACTGGTCTTCAGACCCCTGCCTCAGAGGTTGGAGTAGTAGTGCCACCCTGAGTTGCATGCTTCTTGCTCAACACTGCCCCTTATCTAGCCTAGGGGGTGTGTCAACTTATACATATGTTATGTATGTAAAAGCTATATGCTAGATAGGTGTATGTTCTTAGCGGGTACAACTCCAACCCTATGTCTCCCTTTTTCTCTCTAGTTTGTAAACATTCCTGTATTCTAACATTACTATGACTGACATGGTAGACACGGAGGGAGGGGGGAGGGGGGGGGGAGGTTGGGGGGCGGGAGGGGGGGAGAGGAGAGGGAAATCTCGATGTACTACTAGGTTTCAGAGTCACCCCCTAATGTTCGCTGACGCATCAGCGCTGACCTTATCAAAAGCACCTAAAAAACAATCAACATAAATGAAAAGCTGTTTTTTCAGCATCCACTGCAAGAAAAAGCCCAGCCATTCAGCATTGGTACATCGGAAACCCGTGAAAAAAGACTCAATCAGCGTAAAAAGGCTGATATCTAGGGGCCTTCTCGCACATTAATAAATCGCACTTACACCACAGTCCCTCTCACTTCACGAGTTCTTTTTCCTCCCGCCATCTCCATCCGCATGAGCCCTCCCAGTGACCCGTCTCCAAGTGGCCGACACCGTCTCAACTGCAGCATCGACAAGATGAATCGGGTGCGGCGGCGGCCTCATATGCCTCCTCACCCGGATTCCAGGCGGGGGCATATCTACTGCCCCAGCACCCTTGGAACCAACCACAAACCCTATTACAGTCCCAGAACCTTCAGTAACAGTGCCTTGCTTCTCTTCTGGGGGGGTGCATAGCCCCGCTCCATCTATCCACACACCTTCCTCCCACTCACCCTCCCCCCATAGGTTATCAAGTGACCAGGGAAGAGCGGAGGGGGCAGAGGAGGGAAGTGAGGGAGCTGAGGGGGAGTCTGAGTGGGTGGGGGAGTGTGAGTGTGTGGAGCGCGAGTTGGGAGAGAGAGGGAGGGGAGTGGTATAGCCGGAATGGACGTGTGAGATCCAAGAGGAGATGAGGTAGTTGACCACCTGGCGGGGGGGAAGGGAGGAGAGAACAGTGGGCAAAAGCCAGCCTTCTGGGTCGTGTCAAAAGGTGTGTGAGATCCAAAAGGAGATGAGGTAGTTGACCACCTGAGGAGCGGAAGGGAGGAGAGAGCATGGGCGAAGGGGCATAGGAAAGATGGGAAGAGAAGGAAAAGAAGAGCATGGGAAGGCAGGAAGAGCTGGGAAATGAGGGGGATGAAGGAGGCTTCCATGGGAGTGAAGGGAATGAAAGAGCATGGGGTATGAGGGGTGCGAGGGGGGGAGGGTGGTGGTGGGGGGAGGGAGGGTGCTTGCTTTGCATGGTATCATTGTCATGACTACATTGGATCGCACACTCGCACACCCACACATGTAGACATGCACATACGTGTACATGCACAGACGCATGCATCCATGCATGCATACATACATACATACATGCACACATGCACATACTCTTAAGTGCACACACGCATACATCCACACACACACACATCCACACACGCATACATTCACAAATTCACACATGGATACATACACACACGCACACATGCACACAAACACACAAGCACACATGCACACAAACACACACACATGCACACACATGCACACGCACACACAAACACTCACACATGCGCGCACACGCACACACACACACGCACACACACACACGCACACACACACACGCACACATGCGCGCGCGCGCGCAATGAAGGAGGCACACCCGCGCATACAAACCTCAGGTCTTTCGTGGTGCGGGCAGTGTCCGGCCGGCGAGAGGTCAAAGAAGGCGGCATGCGGCAGCGCCCTGGCTGCTCTGGCGGCCCACATGGGCCCCACCCAGGGGTCGTCCTTCCCATGCAGGATGCACACGGGGAGAGAGCGGGCGGTCAGGCTGGGACAGGGAGAGAAGGGAGGGTGGATTGGGGGTGGGGGAAGGTTGCAAGGCAGGTAGGCAAGGGACATGATTGTTGGGGTGGGGATGAGGTACCGTTGACAGCTAAGGTGAGGCGGGTGGGAGGCACACAGAGGCGCATGGAGGCACACAGAGGCGCACAGAGGGCCCCTCGCCTGCGAGCATTGAGCCAGATCGCGGAGGGCCCCTCTCCTGCTAGCATCGAGCCAGATAGCGGAGGGCCCCACTCCTGCTAGCATCGAGCCAGATAGCAGAGGGCCCCTCTCCTGCTAGCATCGAGCCGGATAGCAGAGGGCCCCTCTCCTGCTAGCATCGAGCCAGATAGCAGAGGGCCCCTCTCCTGCTAGCATCGAGCCAGATAGCAGAGGGCCCCTCTCCTGCTAGCATCGAGCCAGATAGCAGAGGGCCCCTCTCCTGCCTGGCAACATTGGCACAGAGATAGTGGCAGGCCTTGGGCGCAAAGACAGATCAGTTCTGAGGCGCGACTCCAAACCAGACAGCACTATCTCGCCTGGCAGGATTGCCATCAAAGGAGAGAGCCGGGCCCTGGGCGCACAGATCAGTTTTGAGGCGTGCGACTCAGCGCCAGGCAGCGCTCTCCTGCGACGATTCCTTAGGCTGAAAGGCAAATCAGACAGCATTATATCACCTGGCAAGGCTGTTGTCAAACGAAAGGCGGGCCTTGGGCGCAACGAAAATTCAGGTTTGAGGCGCGTGTCAGAGCCAGACTCTCTTGCAACGATTCTTCAGGCTAAAAGGCAGAGCAGACAGCAATATCTCACCTGGCAAGGTTGTCGTCGAAGGAGAGGCGCGTCTTGGGCGCAAAGACAATGGAGGCAAAGGCAGCAGCGGAGGCCGGGTGCTGTGTGGGCTGTGCTATCTTCTCTATGAGGTCCGCAGTGAGCGGCGCCGTGTCAGTGTACACGAGGGCGAGGAGCGAGCGGAGTGTGACGGGATGCCTTAGGCTGTCCCACCTGCGTATGTGTGAGGGGGGGGGTTAGAGGAAAGGGGACAAAACACGAGGAGGGGCGTGACAGGGGGCTCTGTAATCTTCTCTATGAGGTCTGCAGTGAGCGGTGCTGTGTCGGTGTACACGAGGGCGAGCAGTGAGCGGAGAGCGATGGGGTGACGCAGTCTGTCCCACCTGTGTATGCTAGGGGGGGTTAGGGGAGTGGGGACAAGGCAAGAGGAGGGGGATGTCGCGTGGGGGCTCTGCTATCTTCTCTATGAGGTCCGCGGAGAGCGGCGCTGTGTCGGTCGGTGTACACGAGGGCGAGCAGCGAGCGGAGCGTGACGGGGTGACGCAGGCTGTCCCACCTGCATATGCGTGGGGGGGTTAGGGGAGTGGGGAGGGGACAAGGCAAGAGGAGGGGGGTGCCGTGTGGGCTATTTGAGGCACCTGTGGAGTGTGAGCGGGTGACGCAGACTGTCTGTCCCACCTGTGAGAGTTGGGGTGTAGATGGGGGAGAGGGGGAGGAGAGGCGGAGGAGAGGAGATGGCAGATGGAGATCGGATGGAGTTTGAAGTGGAACGAGCAACAAGCACTTGGATAGGTGTTTGGATGAGCGCACACGCTCACCATACTCCTCAGTAAAGCTCGCCACACTCCCTTCGAACTTTCATACGCTTGGAAACATCCATCTTGCACTTGGATATGTATGTACGCATGCCCCCCCCTCTCACCATCGTTAGGGGGCTAATTTTGGGCATATATGTACGCAAAAATATGCATGCAGCTTGCACTTGGGTATGTATGCACGCATGCCCCCCCTCTCACCATCACCTCGCAATGAGTCTCGGGAGGGCAGGCACACGCAGACCCTTCCACACACACTCTCCCACACTCACCTGCACACGCACCCCCTTCCCCTGCCCCGCACACGCATACCCCCTCTCTCACCATCGCCTCGCAACGAGTCTCGGGAGGGCAGGCACAGGGAGCGAGCCGCGCCAGGGGAAGGGGTACAGGCGGGCGAGGAGCGAGGGGGCGGGGGCGGCGGGGTTCGGGGCGAAGGCCCAGAAGGGCGTGGCGTTGAGGAGGAGGACCCCGCGGCACAGGTGCGGGCGCGTGGCTGCTAAGTACGCTGCGATGTAGCCGCCCAGGGAGTTGCCTGCTATAAATACGGGCTCTTGAATGACCTGACAGGGGTGTGTGTGAGACATGTGGGTTCACACACAGATCTGAATGGGAAGAGGACCCCGAAAGCGACAGGTGCGAGCGCGTGGCTGCTAGATACGCCGCGATGTAGCCACCCAGGGAGTTGCCTGCTATGAACACCGGCTCTCGGACGACCAGGTGTGGTGTGATGGACATGCGGGCACACACACACACACACACACACACACACACACACACACACACACACACACACACACACACACACACACACACACACACACACACACACACACACACACACACACACACACACACACACACACACACACACCACACACACACACACACACACACACACACACACACACACACACACACACACACACACACACACACACACACACACACACACACACACACACACACACACACACACACACACACACACACACACACACACACACACACACACACACACACACACACACACACACACACACACACAGATTTGAGGCGCCTAAATCCGCGGCATGGGTGCGTGGCTGCTAGGTACGACGCGATGTAGCCTCCCAGGGAGTTGCCTGCTATGAACACCGGCTCTCGGGCGACCAGGTGTGGTGTGATGGACATGCGGGCACACACACACACACACACACACACACACACACACACACACACACACACACACACACACACACACACACACACACACGCACACACACACGCACGCACGAATGTATTTGGGGCGCCTCAAAGACCCTGCAGAAAACACTACCCCTCTGCAGAATACCTCTGAAGGGCAAGGCAAACCTCCTGGGAGATGCGTGAACCACCTGCTGACACTACATACCTGTACCCAGTGTCCCGTTCCAACAACCCCCTAGTCCACTACTGGCTTCGTGGACTCCATTGACTCGGTTGACCCCGTTGACTCGGTTGACCCCATTGACTCGGTTGACCCCGTTGACTCGGTTGGCCCCATTGACTCAGTTGATTCCGTTGACCCGGTTGACTCAGTTGACTCCGTTGACTCGGTTGCCAGTTGGAGTCTGCCACCTGATGCCACCACAAGTCTGTATGTCTACCTCTCTATGCACCATAACCCTTCTACATTACTGGCTTCCTTGACTCCATTGGGCCGCGGGACACCACCCCCCCGGGACACCACCCCCCCGGGACATTACCCCCCCCCCCTTGACACTACCCCCCCGGGACACTAACCCCCGGGACACTACCCCCCAAGACACTACCCCCCTGGGATACTACCCCCCGGGACACTACCCCCCGGCACACTACCCCCCGGGACACTACCCCCCAGCACACTACCCCCCGGGATACTACCCCCCTGGACACTAAACCCCAGGACACTACCCCCCGGAACACTACCCCCCCAGACAGTACCCCCCGGGACACTAAACCCCAGGACACTACCCCCCGTGCCACTTCTTCCTGGGACACAGAGTGAAGCACGGAGGGGTCTGCAGGCAGTGCTGGGAGGTGGTGCCCCTTGCACCCAACTGTAGAATGGAATCCGCCACCTGCTGGCACCAAATGTGTGGGTCCTCCCCGTGCCACCTCCTAGTCCATTACTGGCCCAATTGACTCCGTTGACTGCATTGACCGCGTTGACCCACCTGGTCAATGAAGTCCGCCACCTGCTGACACCACATGTCTGCACCGTACACCAGGTCGCGCGCCCACGGCTCCGCCTTGGGCCCAAACCCCCAATCCGCCACAGCCTCACTCGCCTCACCCGCCCCCCTCGCTCCTGTTGGCTTTCTTGACTCCGCATTCGCCCCCTGCGGCAGCTTCCCCCTCCCCTCCTCCGCCCTTAGCAGCATCGCCTCTTCACCATCCTCTGCCACTTGTGCTGTGCCATTAGACGTGGGGGCAGCAGGGGCAGAAGGAGCGGAGGGAAAGGGAGCAGGATCCTTGGCTGGCCAGGACTTGCCCTGGCCAAAGAAGTCCATCGCCCACACCCGGTGCCGCCCCTGCTGCTGCTGCACTCCCTCCTGCCCGCCAGCTGCTGCTCCTGCCATCGCTGCTTCCGCCCCTGCTGCTGCCCCTGCTGCTGCCCATGCTGCTGCTGTGCCTGCTGCGAGCCCCCGCAGCTGGTGCTGGAAGTGGAAGGAGCCCACGCCGAAGCCCGGCAGCAGGAGCACCGCGGGGAGAGAGCTGGTACCACGGGGGGAAGGGGTTGGGGAAGGGGAGTGTAATTTTGAGGCGCCTCAGACCAAACTTTTGAGTCGACTCTAAGGCCTTTGTGGCTGGCGCTGGAAGAAGTGGAAGGAGCCGGCCACGCCGAAGCCTGGCAGCAGGAGCACCGACCGCAGGAGAGCTGACACCGAGAAACGGTGGAGGAGGTTCAAGGGAGGAAGAGTGGGGGAGTGGGTGGAGGAATCTGTCCATGGAGGTGCCTCAAAATAGGTGGAAGGACCCCACACCAAAGCCCGGCAGCAGGAGCACCGACCGGGGGGGCGAGGGAGAGAGCTGAGAGGGATGGGGGAAGGGGGGGGGGGGGAAGTCTCTTTCAAATGCGCCCCAAACCAAGTGGAAGGATCTGATGCCTCGATCAGGGAGCAAGAGCAAGGCGGGGAGAGGGCTGGTACGCACAGGGATAAGGTGACGGGGGAGTGGAGAGGGTGGGGAGGGAGGGGAGGGAGGGGAGGGAGGGGAGGGTGGGGAGTGGGAGGATTGCGTTGGGAGAGAGAGGGGAATGGGGAATTGAAGGTATGGCAGGGGGGGGGGGGTGGGGGGGGGGAACGAGAGAGGGGGGAGAGGAAGGGACCAATGAGGAGCAGGAAGGGAGTATGGCAGTCTTGGGTACCGATGAGGAGGAGCAGGGTACCGTAGCAACTGGTTTTCATTTTTGAGGCGCCTCAAAAATTGACTCCTCACGCATGGGTACCGATGAGGAGAGGAGCAGGGTAGCAACTGGTTCTCCTTGCAGAAAGAAAATCGGAGACGAATGAAGGAACAAGAACATGTACCACCAACCAAACCAAACTGGTGCTGCATGGCACACGGCACGACAGTCACTGTCGCCGAGAAACACGGCAGGAGCAGGGAACGGAGGGAAGACGGGATGAGACTGACGACAAGGTACATGCAATGCAAGCAGCAAATTTGTCAGCAATGGCCGCAATGGCTGCAACGGCTGCAACAGCCGCAGCGGCCGCAACGGCCGCACTTTTCGTCCGTCTCACCGCCCGCCACCTCGTCATATTCTTTAGATCATTCTCAGATACATAACACAACCATGCAAGCTCGTCAGCAGCAGCAGCATCCTCACCTGTCGGTCTCATCCCCTGCCACCTCATAGTGAACCATCCAGTTCTCCCGCCATTCCCACATGCTGCTCCTAGGCTCCTCCCACGCCCCCGCGCCGCTCGTCCCGCTCTTCGTGCTCTCCCCTGTGGAGTCCCCGTACTCTCCCCCACCACCAATCAGCGCTTGCAACGCGTCGCCGTCAATTGCGGTCGCTACCGCCGCAGATGCCGCGCCGCCGCCGCCGCCGCCGCCGCCGCCACCGGAGCTGCCGTCAGGAGCCATTTCGGCGGCAATCGCGGCGGGAACCGCGCACCTGCTAAACAGGCGGCCGCGCGCTTGGTGTATAGCGCGCACCGACGACTGCGAGGACGGGATGCCGCGATTTACGCGCAATGCCGCGGCGCGCAATGTCGCCGGAACACGCGAGTCGGCGGGGGAGAAAGTCGACCGCTGAACCAGCCGCGGCTCGTTATAGTATGCATTCGTGACAATAACGGGAGGCCGGACGCTCAGCTGGGGAGTGGCACAGAAGCGAGCGGGATGAGAGAGGCATATCATGGGGTCGAGCGGGGGAAGCGGGGGGTGCGGAGGGAGCGAGAGGCGGCGGCGAGCGGGAATTATGGGGAAGGCAGCAAGATAATAGCCTGCAATAGCGGATCAGTGATAGGTGACAATGTACAAATTACTGTTCTCGGATCAGTGGTTCGACTCGCTTCTGGAGAACTCTATACTGGACACAATGAACTTTTCATATGCATCTGGGTTGTCTATGCTTATTGCAGGAGAGAGAGATAGGTATAACGAGGATGGTTTGGTTGGGAAAGGGGGCAGAGCTTTGCGGGCGGCGCGCAAGGCTTGTGTGGTGCGCTTGTGGTGGTTCCGGAAACATTTGTCTGCGGCGCGTGGTCGTGGAGATCGACAGAAGCCTGACGCAGCGCCCGCACGAGGCGCCAGGTGCCTGCTACAGTTTGGGATGCCTTTGTTGGGTCAGGGTATACAGCCAGTATTAGCAAATTTCATTATAAATCTTCAAATTCGCTGTGTACAAACAAATTTGCGATTACAGCATCACCTTCGGCTGTTCTGTATTTGTTTCAACCGGAAAAATCTCTGCCCTGAATTGTTTCAGCAGTTTTTGTTCGTTATCAGAACGACAAACTGCACCACTGGAGAGCTGTAGTCCCGACCTTGTGGTGTGCTCTGTTGACCCCAAACGGGAGAGACTTCGGGCATGGCACAAAAAGATCTGAGGCCGGAATATTTCGTCGAGCGAGTGTTCTCTGCTGGTACCCGCTATAACCTTCCTCGCCTGCCTCACTCGTCCCGCAACATGTACCTACTTTCCCGTCATCCACTTCCACTGATTGGTTTTCCACCAGCCTTGCGTTGCGAGCGATAACGAGGAGATTCCGTTACACAACACCAAGAAGAAGCAGACTACAGAGCACAGCACAGTGCGATAGTTTCCTAATCTCTTTCTCCTCGCTTCAGCTTGCATGACACTGCTCAGTTGGCATTCTCCCATGTCAGATCCCAGCTGCATCACTCTTCACTCCGCTTCCCTTCTTGCCATGTAGTGCGCGTACGAGGCAGGCGAGAAATGGCTTGAACCTTCCGACCCTCCATCGTCTCACATTCCGGCTATTTCCCGCCCACGTTTTAGGTCTCCACGGTTCGACCCTACCGTGAGAGCCGCTTCTTACTTATGTTTTGCCAAAGAGCTCTCCGCTAGTAACGAATCCCTCTGTAACCGCCATTTCCGAAGCAGTCGACGAATAGCCATTCCCGCAGCGACACAATAGGGTAACCCGCAACCCAGAACCGAACCGCGAACCCCTTACTTAGCAACCGCTCTTAGGATTAGCTTCAGTTAACGCGCTATAGCCTGGTGCGCCTTTGCCTTGCGCCCAGCATGCACGCGCGGAACCATGACGCGGACGGCGCCCATGACGGCACCGCCGGGGGGGGCGGCGGTGGCGATGGGGGCGGGGGCGGGGGGGGGGCTACTCTGACGCATTCATACAGCGGCAAGCTGCACAGTTTCCTCAAATCGCGCACCGGCGGTGCGCCTCCGCGCATCGAAGCGTCCCCCGCGGAAGGCAAGACCGCGCGCGCGCTGCGGAAGCAGCAAGAGGAGGTGCGGGGAAGAGTGGCTTGCGATCGATAAGTGCTCTGATGGACACGTGGACACTGGAATTGACATTGACATTGCCCGTTTGACATTGGCATTGGCATTGGCATTGGTATTGGTATTGGTATTGGCTGTGACGATCAGAGCGCTGCGGTAGACACTAGATCGTGATGAGATGAGTCATGAGCTCGTGATTAGCTCATGTGATAGCTTGCTGCCCGTGCTGTGGTCTAACTCGCTCGACCTCTCTACCGCCTTCCTCTGCCCCCCCTCTCTCTCTGCCGTTTGCTCGTTCTCTCTGTCTTTGGCTCTCCCAGGCCGCAGCACGCGGGCATGACCCCGCGGGATCGACTAAGGGCAACACGTCATCGTAAGACAATGCGTTCCGGCATGCATGCATGCATGCTCGCGTCCATGCGTGCATGCGTGCATGGGTGCATGGGTGCATGGGTGCATGCGTGCATGGGTGCATGGGTGCATGCGTGCATGGGTGCATGCGTGCATGCGTGCATGGGTGCATGGGTGCATGCGTGCATGGGTGCATGGGTGCATGGGTGCATGGGTGCATGGGTGCATGCGTGCATGGGTGCGTGGGTGCATGCGTGCATGCGTGCATGCGTGCATGGGTGCATGGGTGCATGGGTGCATGGGTGCATGGGTGCATGCGTGCATGGGTGCATGGGAGCATGCGTGCATGGGTTCATGGGTGCATGGGTGCATGGGTGCGCGCGTGCGTAGATAAGTACATCTCTACATGCATTCGTTAGCACGTATACACAACGCAGACGCGTCGTATCAACAGAACAGGCATTATAACCACCTACCTCCCTTCTTACCTCCCTTCTTACCTCCCGACCCGCCTACCTACAACAAAAGCCTCTTGCTCACCCACTCCCCCCACCCCTCCCATCCCCTCCCCCCTCTCCCAGCCCCCCGGTCCGCTTCGCGCGCACCTTCGCGCGCAAGCACCGCGAGAACGACAACCCGCAGGGGGGGGGTCCCGACGGCCCGGGGATCGCGCAGGGGGGCGGCGCGCGGGCGGGCAGCTTCACGCTAGCCGCGGACGACTCCGCGGACGAGCCCGACTGGGGGGCGCTGGCCGCCGAGCGCGCGGCGAAGCTCCAGCTGGGCGGGGGGCGGCACTCCGGCGGGGGTTCAGGCGCGGGCACTGGCGCGGGCGCGCCTGCGCGGGCGGGCGGAAAGGCCTGGGGGGGTGGGCAGGGGCACGAGCTGGGGCGGGAGGAGGGGGAGGAGGCGGAGAGAGAGGCGGAGTTACTCGAGGACCTACCAGCGCTGATTAGCAAGGCGCGGAGCAATGACGTGGGGGAAGTGCGCGAGGCAGCGGAGGGGTTCAGGGACCTGAGCAAGGGGTCGGAGCGCGCGATACAGTTTCTGTGCGACGCGGGGGGGCTGATCGCGCTGCTGCAGATGCTGGGCCCCGGCGCGGACGAGGCGGCGACGGAGCACGCCGTGCTGACGGTGCTGAATCTCGCGCTTAGTAACAAGAGCATCGCGAATAGGTTCCTGGTGTCCGGCGCGCTCTCGACGCTGTCGAGTCTGCTGTGTCGGTCGCACAACCCGTCGATCCGGAGCAATACCGCGGCGGCGATTAACGCGCTGGTGGCGCGCGGCGGCGCAGCGCATGTGCCGTCGCTGCAGGGGCAGGGGACGGTGCGCGCGCTGCTGGACCTTGCGGAGGGGTCCGCGGAGGCGTCGGACGGGCGGCACGACGCGCTGCGCGCGCTGGCGCGGCTCGCGGGGTGCGAGGCGGTGCGGGAGGAGATGGTGGCGGAGGGCGGCGTGGAGCTCGCGCTGCGATTGGCAGTGAGCGGTGACGTGGACGTTCTGGACGAGGTGGCGGCGCTGCTGGCGCAGCTGGGGCGCACGGGGAGCGGGATGAGGCAAATCTACTCGTTCCGCTGGCAGGGGGCGGGGGGGGGCGCGGGGGCCGGGGAAGAAGGCGGCGTGGGGGGAGTGGATGTGCTGGTGGGGTTGGTGGTGGGGGACGAGGCGTCGTCTCTGACCCGCGAGATGGCGGCGGCGACGCTGCTGAGGATGGCCACCAAGGGCGACGAGGACTGCCGCGCCGCCGTGGTGGCCAAGGAAGGCGCGCTGCTGCCGCGTCTGGAGCGGACGCTGGGCGAGGAGTCGCAGTCGTCAGACAAGCTCAAGTCACGGGTACGTCGGTGCGGTGTGGGTGGGGGGTGTTGGGGGGGGGGGGGGAGAGGGTTTGAGCTCCTGTGGGGTGTGCCGCTGTGCTGCTGTCGCCTGGAGCAGACGCTCGGGGAGGAGTCGCAGTCGTCAGACAAGCTCTAGTCACGGGTACTTGCGGTGTGCAGGTGGGTTGTGTTGGGGGAGGGGTGTGGGTGGGGGGTGTGGGTGTGAGGGTGTCTGTGTGCAGGGTGTGGGTGTGTGGTGCTGTGCGGTGCTGCTTTTAGGTATGTGCTATGTGCTGGGGAGGGGGCAGTCATCGGAAGGCACGCTGCTGCCGCGCCTGGAACGGACGCTGGGGGAGGAGTCGCAGTCGTCGGAGGTGTGGGGTGTGGTGCGGTGGGGGTGGGGGTGGGGGTGGGGGTGGGGGCTTCGATGCTGCTGTGCCCTGTGTATCATGCATTAGGGAAGTGGGGGGAGGGTGTGTGGGTGCGGGGTGTACAGTTTGGTGCTGACGCTGGCTGGGTTGGGGGGGGGTGGGGGGCTATCGGAAGGCGCGCTGCTGCCGCGCCTGGAACAGACGCTGGGGGAGGAGTCGTCGGACAAGCTGTGGGTGGGGGATGTGGGGTGTGGTGCTGTGGGGTATGTGCTGCTGTGCTTCTATATATCGTGCACTAGGGTGCCGAGTTGGCATGCCATATCGATGATATATGCATGTATCAGTCCAGACATATATATATAGTCAGGCTGGACTGCTTGCCCGTCGTTCCCCCCTCATCCTGCCTTCTCCCTTTCCCCCTCTCCCGCTTGCCCCTTTCCCCCGTCTCCCCCACCTCCACCGTCCCCCCCACCTCCCCCGTCCCCCCCACCTCCCCCGTCCCCCCGTCCCCCATTCCCCCATTCCAACTCTACCCACCCACCCATCCATCCGTCCATCCATCCGTCCATATGTCCATTTGACCATGCATCCACCATCGCTTTTGCCTGGCAGGCCAAGGGACTTGCCAATGCTCTGTCTCACTCCTGAGCAACAGGGCTACCACTGCTGCTGCACCTGCTTTGCTCTACTACTACCGCCCTCACTTGCCGTGCTGCTCTCTGCGCTCCTCTCCCCCACATCCCTCCTCTTGTCACTCCTACACTCAACATACCATCAGAATGCTCTCACTCACTCTCCTCACTCACTCACTCACTCACTCGCACCCATCACACTCGCATCCCTGCTTATACCATCCGAAGGGACAACTCTCAAGGGCCAATTCCCAAGGGCCAAGTCTCTCGACTTCCCCTCTACCCATGTCTCTCCCTCCCTCCACTGCAACCTACTAGCATCTCCATGCTTGTACACCTCCCATGCATTGACTGACTCTCCCACCTGCCATACCTATTTCGACCATCTATCTCACCAACTACAATATCTCTTGCATGATCCACCCTCCCTCAGCCCAGCAAGCTGTTGCCTTGGCGTTCCCCCCTCCCTTGTTTTCCTCTATCTACCGTACCTCCTCTGGTCCGCCGCGCTTGCGCCTGTGTGACTATTTCTTCCACACTACCGCCGTACTACCGGTACCGGTATTTAATTTGTTAGAAACCGAAACCCAAGGAACAAGTGTTAGATTATGTGAATAATTGACGAGAGAGGGAAACAGAGAACATATACTGGTAGCAGTTGGGTTGTACTCACTAGGAACACACACCGATACTAGCCTATAACTTCTACATGCATGACATGTATAAGTTGACACACCCCCTAGGCTAGAGAAGTGGTGGTGCAAGCAAGAAGCACACTGCTCAAGGTGGCACTACTAGTCCAACCACTGAGGTAGGGGTCCAAAGACCAGTCAGCAAGAGTACAGATAAGACAAAAGTAAGCCAGGGCGGCACTACTAGTCCAGCCACTGGGAGGGAAGCCCACAAGGCCAGTCACACAATACACAATAGAGAATACACAATCAGGGTCCTAACAAGTGAGTAGCTACAGGAACAAGACCAAGCTGTACACAGTGCCGCTGATGATCTTTAGGCGCAAGCGGCTTAGTAAAGATATCAGCTGTGTTGGCACCGGAGGCCAAGTGAACTACACGGGCCTGGCGACCCTGCTGTAGCTCGCGCAGGAGGAAGTACCGCAGCTGGATATGCTTCGCTCTGCCCTCAAGCCGGGGCTCCTGACACAGGAGGATCATGGCCCTGTTGTCAGCGTACAGGACCAGGGCAGAGCTAGGCCGCTCACCTAAGTCAGTGAGCAAGAAGGTCAGCCAGCGATGTCTCAGAAACTTAGGAGTCTAGGTTCCTAAAGTTAGGACACTAGCTCAGCTAGGAATGACGCCATGGAATGGTGGGAGGAAAGTAGATCTAGGAACGTGAGTAGTGAGGAGAAATGTCAAGAAGAAAGGTGTTCGATTAGGAAGAGAGAGGAGTACAAGGAGGTACCCTCTACAGGAAGGTTCAGTAACAACTATCAAGCCTATCAATTACTGTATATAGAACTTATATAATCTTGACACGAAGCTCCTGTGCCGCCATGGCACCAGCGTAGATCTCAGCCTCACAGCTAGACTGAGCAACAGACGACGAGCGAGTGGATCTCCAAGAGATAGCACCCGAACCAAGACTAAAGCAGTAGCCCTGAGACGACCTGGGAGTCTCAGAGTCGTCTGCCCAAGAAGCGTCTGTGTGCCCAGTGAGGACCACCGGCCTGCGTCCTCCTAGCACTAACCCCATGTCCGATGTACTTGCTAGATATCGCAAAACCCTCTTAGCGGCCGACCAGTGCTGTGGCCGGTGTCTGCCAGTGGCCAGAAAGCGAGCCAGGATGCTAAGAGGGTATGCAAGATCTGGGCGAGTGCAAGTCATCAGGTATATGGGGCAACCCACCAGCTCTGCGTAGGGTCCACTGGGCTCTACTGGCTCCTCAGGAACGGGAGCGGAGAGCCCATGGTCTACAGGTAGAGGTGTGCGCTGTGCGGAGGAAAACTAAAGATTGTGACACGACCTCAGAGGAGTGTGCAGTGCAGTCGTCATGTGCAGTGCAGTCGTCATAGCATATCATAGCTCCATAGTACAGCACACTAGATAGGGCAAATACATGGCAAGGGAACAAGGGTGAGCAGGCCATGCTAGTTATCAAAGCATGGGAGGGAAGGGTGGGCAAGTTGGAACAGAAAAATGCAAATGAGACTAGGTGGCAGGTCTGAAAGACCTGCCGATAGATGAAGGAGTTTGTCTCCTTTACAGCAAACTCCTCTTCTAGTCGAATCACAATCTGTAAATTTTTTACTACCAAAAAAATTGCTCATATTGTGACACGACCTCAGAGGAGTGTGCAGTGCAGTCGTCATAGGTCAAACGAGACATCAAGTGGTAGGTCGTCGGCGGTGGCGCTCGAGGGTGGCCTGGTATTGATCGGTCGCGCTCGAGCGAGTAGGATCTTGTAGCGCGCGAGAAGCAGCCACTAGCTCGCGGTCAAGCTGAGTAATGTAAAGCTCCTTGGCTGTATCACTTCGCCAGCGACCTAGGGCCTTGAAAAGCCGGTCGGGGACTCCAATATCAACGGCGACCGTCGCAGCCGCCTTGCGGAAAGAATGGGTGCCCAGGAGGGCCGGGTTAAGGCCTACACGGGGAGAAAGCATCTCGACACCAACCCCGAATGGCGGCGTACGAGGGAGAGCGATCTGAGGGGGAAGCTCGGGCACCCGGCTGAAATATACGAATAAGGGGGCCAAGGGTCCGCGGAGAATAGCCAGCCAGGAAGAGGAATTGTTGGACACGCGACACCGGACAGTGGCGGGCAGAAGAAGCAGCCACTGGGACCCAAACACCGGTGCCAGCTTGGTCGGTCTTCGAACGAGGGATGAACAACCACATGCAGTCCCGATCGAACTCGATCTGGTGCCACTGGAGGGAGACGAGATCAGAGAAACGAAGGAAGGCTGCGAACATGAGGAGGGGAATAAGGCCCCGCTGGAATGTGGCCGGATCATGCGATGAGAAGTAGATGTCACAGATATCGTAAATCTTGGCTGGAGGAATGGGCTCCTTAGCTTGAGATGGCTTGCCACAATGACGCATGGCATAATCCTTGACTTGCGAAGAAAAGGGGCCGCGAATCGGGGAGGGGTGGCCAACCAGCCAATGGGCGCAGGATATGGCGGAACACGCAGTGCGCACAGCTGAGACAGTAGCGCCGCGACGGACCGAGTGCAGCAGAAAGAGGGACGATGTCAGGTCGGTGGCGGGAAGGAAGGGAAGTGAGTGCGCCAAACAGAAGGCTCGAAACTGTCGCCAGTAGGGTTCGTAAGTGCGAAGGGTAGACTTCGCGCGAAGATCAACGGTGAGTGTGAGAAGGTCCGACAATAATCGACCAATATATGAGCCTGCGCAGTGAAATAAATTGATACATTAGTTGAATGCAAAACGAAGCGCATACATCGGAGAGTTCGGAAGACCAGCACCGCTAAAGGCATGACGGTCACTGCCAACGCGTAAACAACTAGCACCAAGGGTAAGGCGAAGGGCCATAACGACCTCCGGGCCCCAAGTGGAGCCGTCCAAGCTTAGCAAAGGCCACCAAAAGGCACTGGGCCAATATGGGATCACGAGAGTGAGAGAAGTGCGCGAGCGACGGGCATGAGCTAGGACAGCCGGGATGAGGGTGGGTGGAGGAAAGGCGAAGCAATTCTCGTGGCCCCAATTGATAGAAAAAGCGTGTTGCGCAACCGCAGAGTGTGAGAACTCGAGGGAGCAGAAACGAGCGAGCTGCGCATTGGCAGGGGATGCGAACAAGTCGATAGTATGAGGCCCCCAATGCCTCTCAAGCAGCCGGAACCAAGGTCGTGTCAAGGAGTAGTCGTCGTGGAGCTCAATCTTGGACAGAGCGTCAGCCTCGGTATTCAGCGCACGGGGAATCCATTGGACCGTAAGACGGATCATATGGCGCACGCACAATTGAATAATCGCGCGGCATACGAAGGTAAGCTCGGGACGGCGAGAGCCTCCCTTCTGGAGGATGTAGTAGGCCGCCTGACTGTCGCTGCGGAGCAAGATGTGCGAACGTCGGATTTCGACAGAAAAGGCCGAAAGGGACCAAAAGATTCCGGCCAGCTCGCGAAGGGTACTGGACAAGCCCAAGAGGGCTAGAGGCAGCGGGGAGGAGAGCGAGCCGACACGACCATCCGGCGTTGAATAACAAGCCCCCCAAGCATGGTCGCTAGCATCCACGTACATGACCACGTCGTACAAATGCGGGTTGTGGAAGCGGGCGCCGTTGAAAACGTCGAACTGTGTAAGCCAAAATCGCAGTTCTTCAACAGACTCAGGGGTGAGGAGAATGGCCGCCCCCCATGAGTGGCATTCGGCGATCTGCGTAAGAAGGTGGTGGGAGAAAGCGCGCGCGACAGTGCCAAGCGCCAAGGACATGGAGGCCAACATGCCGGTGATGCGGGCAGCGCGGCGAACAGGGATGCGACGCCCGTTAGTGCCGAGTGTGCCTAATTCATCCAGCTCGGCAAAAAGCCGGTTGCGCCGATCCGCATCGACCGAGAAGGTGGTGGTGCGCGTGTCCAGCAAGAGGCCCAAGAACTTCAAAGATTGTGCCGGTGCGAGTTGTGATTTTTTGAAATTCACAACAAAGCCCGCGGCTGCGAGGTCGGCAATGATTATGGAGCGGTTGTGAAGAGCCTCCGCTCGAGTGGCACTGATGAATAGGATATCATCGACGTATGGAATAAGGCGGATGCCACGGCTACGCCAGCGTTTGGCGAGTTGCTTAATTAACTGGGTAAACACAAACGGCGCTGTAGCCAGCCCGAAAGGCAAAGAGAGGAATTGGTAGTCCTGCCCTTGCAAGGAGAATCCGAGAAACTGCCAGAAAGCGGGGTGAATGTCGACGTGGTGGTATCCAGATTTGAGATCGATCGTGAATAGCCAATCGCCTTCTTGCACCAAATCAGGAACGCGAGTAAGTCCTTCGTATCGAAAACGAGGTACTGAGAGGAATGAGTTGACATGCCGCAAATCCAATATCAGTCTCTTTTTTGAGGGTTGGACAATCACGTTTAAGGGGCTAACGCATGTGAGGGCTGTGGAAGGAGGAACGACCCGAGCTGCGCCGGTGGCGAGAAGCTCGGCCACTGCGCCTACGGCGAAAGAGGTGAATTGCAAAGCACCGGCATGGTTCTTAGTACGACACGGAGGGGGCTCAGAGGCAACCCATGGTAGGCGATATCCAGATGTAATCACCGATAGAATAAAACGGCTATCGCACCAGGCGGACCACCATGCAGCGCGGTCACGGAGGCAGCCTTGCATGCGGGTAATCTTGGTTGCGTCATCGGCATAGGCCGAAATGGTTCCGAGCTCTGGTAGGAGAGGGAACACAAATAGGGACGGTAGAGAATCAGGAAGGTACCTCATGTAGTTCCGAACGCAACGATTTTTTTTGATTTTTTTGGAAGGAAGGCAAACGCTAAATATAGGTGCCCCCTTGCTCGCTATTATTCGGCCAAGTTGGAACAGAAAAATGCAAATGAGACTAGGTGGCAGGTCTGAAAGACCTGCCGATAGATGAAGGAGTTTGTCTCCTTTACAGCAAACTCCTCTTCTAGTCGAATCACAATCTGTAAAATTTTTTTACTACCAAAAAAATTTCTCATACCGAACCTCTGA